TGGATGCACATGTATATAATTCTCGGAACGAGAATTCAGAACAGAACTAATCGATTGGGAGTTCTGTTCTAAAGTCGCTCAGTACAAGCAGTACCGAGTTCTACACCATCCGAGAACTGAGGAAAGTAGCACACACTTGACTTGTACTGCTTGGATGTATATTTCTACTATCAATTGAACTCAATCATAACTCACTGAATCCAGTATAACACGGGAAAGCACGTGAGAGGTGGATTCAGTCTATTTCATTAGTTTTAGTCTCACAATACTAATTAGAGCAATCTAATAAACACTACTAAAGAATACTACTACTACAAAGTACACGTTATTTCGTGCATACTGAGATGCCATTACACTCATATATTTCTTCCATAAATTTTCCATAACAAAATTATGACAAGGACTCTTGAGCCAGTGTTTGGATCTCTGAAGATGCTGTAACAAAAGAGAAGAAAGATAGATGGTGAGTTGAGAAGCTTAAAAGCAAAGATTTCAAATAATAATATTCTTCAGATCACAAAATGTAATTAAGAGGCAATGATGAAATTTTGGATATGAAGAATACCACACTACTGAGACTTCTTGCACATCATAGATGTGATGAAGACCACTACTAGTACTCTGCTGAGACTCCTTGCACTTTCATAGTTTTCTTATTTCATAGTCATTTACTAGCTCACCAACAAGAGGACTACTAGTATAACCAATATATGCTAGAAATAATTCTGAATGAAATCCATGAAGATGGCCCTGCATGAATTATACTAAAAGTAATAGTAGTACTAGTAGTAGTATACTAAAAGTAATAGTAGTACTAGTAGTAGTACTACTACTACACCATACTATGGTGGTGGTACTATGCCATGTACAAAAAACTATTTTGCTGACATTTGCAGAACATTTGTGTTACAGTACTACTGCTAGAAGTAGTGGTAGCATCCTCCTCTAATGGGGACACTCAGCAACTTCTTTAACAAGGGTCAAAGCTATACAGAATTACAGCAACATAGTACTACTACTACTACTTGTGAGCCCAGAAGAATACTCCCACACACCAGCACTCTGCCACTACTAATGGTATTACTATTACTTCTCTTTTCAATAATAGTACTACTATGCATCTTGCTGGTGGTGAGTTGTTGTGGTAAATGATACAGATTGATTTCTTCACCACCACCACCACATACTGCTGTCTTAAAATCTCAATATTCCTTTTCAAAGTAGTATGAAGTTTTTCATGTAATGACTAGTAGTGGTAATAGTGCTACTAGTAGTTGTTTTACTGAATAATTTATTTATCCCTCTTCTTTGAAGGTCTGTAGCTAGTAGTACTAGTGCTAGTAACAAAGAAATGATAGTACCAAAGCACTCAAATTCAAATATGATATTAGTACTAGTAGTAGTATAAAGTAGATGTGTTTCTTACCACTAGTACTGTATCTTTTACAACTGCCACAATTACTTGTCTTGCTAAGAATGAAAAACTTACGGACATCCATGCTGCAACGAGTACTGTAGGAACAGTACAGCAGAGGACCACCCGTGGATCCAATCATGAGTCCCTGGGACCGAAAACTATTGAATAACAGAGCGAGAACAGAGAACAGAGAACAGCAATTATCAATTATCAAATATCAAATACTATCAAATATCAAATATCAACCATCAACCATCAATTATCAAGCATCAATTACCAATTATCAAACAACATAGAACAAAAGCAACAAGAATAATACTGGTGTTTGTACCAACATATTGTTCATCCTACAGTCTCACATAAAGAGTCTAGAATTCAATTGTTCAGCCATGTTTTTCTCTTGTTGTTACTACTGCTGGTGATGTCCTTCAGTAAAGAAAGAATTTGAAATTATTACTACTAGCATTCTTCTTCCAAGATGCATCAGAATGTATAATGATAAGAAGGAAAGAAACAGCTAAGAATACATCACATCCAATAGAGTGTTATGGAATTCAATTGCCCTCACACCATGAGTTTAATTTTGATAGTGCACATCAATGTTACTACTAATATTAATTTTCTTTGCACATCACAACTTTTAAAAATATACCATCGAATTTAGGGGCACCCACATTTAGATAGTTCTTTTGTCCTCATCACAAGAATTTTTGTCAGCCCTTCTATTTGATCAATTTGAATTGAAATGATTGTCTATTTGCTTACTTCATACAAGCTTAGAGGTATTTGCAAAAAGTCATTTACATTTTGCATTACCACCATGCCAAGGAAGCTCTTGTCTCCGCTCTGACCCATCAATTCCCCCCCCATAGTACACAAAACAACTTCTTGAGCTTCTTGTTCTTCATGGTACAAGTTTATGCACTCACAAAGCAAACTCACTCATTGGTATACATCACAAGAAATTCAAGGTCACCCACCATTCTTGGAAGAAGTGGCACAGCACAGCAGAAAAATGCACAAGAATATTAATGGTGAAAAAATTGGACATGCAAACTGTGCAGCTGCACTGCAAAAAGTAACACTGTGCAAAATCACGAAAATTAGTACATCCTATGAAAACCACACACCAGGAAATTTTACTTTTTCATGAAGAATCACAAAACTTCACTTTCCAACAAAATACTACTACCATTGTTCTGCAGCAAAAATGAAAATGGCTGTTCCTGACCTTTGCAATGATGTGAGAACACTACATTGTGATGCAGGCCTTCCAAAGAAACTGAAGAAGAATCAACCTGAAAATAACATGCGACAACTCACCAGCTACAAATAAGAGTGCTGCCAGCAGGGCATGAGCCAATGCCAAAGCCAGCAAGAACACTTCTATTGGCATGGGGAACAACAGCATGAGTATAGCTGTGATCCCACTTCTACTTGATTCTCCTAGTACTACCACTGCAGCAACAAATGAGCAGAAGCAAGAGCCAATAGAAGTCAGAGTGATGGAAATTTCCTTTCCAAGAACTGCTTTTCTCCTTGTTGTTGAAGAGAGGACAAGTATTGTCACAACAACAACTACTGCCCTTCCTGATTTACAAATGATGCTGCAGAGGATAATGAAGCAAATAATACAGGAGTGGCTCACAAAACAACAGCACATCAAGGAAAAAAGAAGATTCAACAGAAGAAGGTACAACAACAAACAGTACTAGTACTAGTAGTGCTAATAGTAGCATCATTGGGTAACAACATTGACAAACCAGAAAAAGAAGAAGAAGTAAGTTATCATACTAGCAACAAGTCTACCACTCCTCGAACAAAAAGAGACACAATAACCCCCTTAAATGAAATGCTGCATACTAGTACTGTGGGAAAAAATTGAAGACTCGTCTTGTAAAAGAATTCTGTAGTAGTAGTATTCTTTGTTACAAGTTTCAATCAGTAGTAGCATGAAAGCTAGTATTATTAGTTATTAGAGCAAATCTCCTTGCTACTACTTGTTGTAGTGCTAGTAGTACTACTAGTAGTAGAAGTAATACACGAACAAGAATGCTGCACAAAAATGAACTAGTACTGCAATTTCGTCCCCGCGTGCGTAGCAGAATTACGTACCGTAGCCGAACAAAATGTTGTTGATGATGCTCGCTCTCGGTGAACAATACAGTAATTTCAATCATGACCTCAACATGCACGACTTAGGCGCGTGTCAAAACAGCTGGCTTGTTCAATCGACTTCAATTTTGCTCGAGACTGCAAGCGCCACGAGCAAGCCCTTCGGGGATCGGCCGGCCGAAAATCACGAAAGGCACGTGCTCCTCGAACGAGTCGGTTCGCCGCAATAATCAAATCTTCAGCTATTGGTCCGTTTGTCGTCGGCAAAAACTTAATTCATCCAGTCATCTTTTCCCGTATGTATGACACACTCTAAGCGCGTGACACGAAATCCATCGACCAATAAAAATACTCCATTCCCGTGTCATGCAAAAGATACGCGAGCTTGGAATGGGGTTTTGCAGCACCCGTTTTCGTCTTTCGTCAGCTTGAGGGGAATGCCTTGCACTGCTCAGTTCCCAGATGGAAGCTGTCAAAATTCAACGATAAAAATTTGTGTCTTACAGTACGAGGAAGTACCAGATTCTACGTAGTCACATTCTTCCTTGGGGAAAATTTGAACGAATTCTCGAGTTGGAACCTCCCCGTCGCATTGTTTCCATTCTTCCAACCCAAGACACAGCATCACGCGAATTGAATTGCACACCGCTAACATTAATACGGTACTGTACCCGGTCCTCGCTCGAAACCAGAAATACAAGACAACAATGATGCACACGGAGCTCCGTTCAACGTCGCAACGAAAGAAGACAACAAGAACAACGAATTCTTCGATCGCAGATGATTCGACGAACTGCCATGATTTGTCGGCTTGCGATGTAATTTCCATGAGAGTTCGGCGTCGTCACAGATCCTTCAGCAGAATATCATTGTCGCCATCGAATTCTTGCACGGTTGCCCCTCCGAAGCCGCTCATGCTCCTCTTTGTGGCCATTGCATCCTTTTTCTTAGCCAACAAGGTAACGCCCGTATACTCGCTCTCGGCAGCGAAGAACGAATGGATTGGCAATTCCTTGCAGTATTACAACCGTATCACAAGAGGAGCCGAGCACGTCCAACAATCTCCCACATATCTCAAATCTGCAATGGAGAACTACTTTGCTCTCGAAAAACTCAGGAACAACAAACCACGCCACGCCGAAACCATTTACCGAAGGCTCATGGACGAATTCAACCCCCGACAGGGTCCGTTTGTCACCAAGCCGGCGGTCGATTCGATGCACGCCGATGCCGAGGAGTGCGAATTCTCCCAGCTGGCCGTTCCGACGCTCTTGCTGGGGCTTTTGCTGCAGCGGGAAGGACGGTTCGATGATGCCCGCACGGTCTTTGAGGGGTTTTCCCACGTGCTAGAGGACGCAAACGGTGGCAAAGCCCACGCCTGCTGCTGCAGCGCCAGGGTCCTGCAGGCCCACGCTCTCTTTGAAATGAAACAGGACAATCCCGTCAAGGCCGCCGAGCTTATAATGAAGGCGGTGCGCATGGATAAGAATCTGCGATCGGTGCTGCGATGGAAGCTCTTTCGAGAAGCCATGGCCGAATACAGAAAGTACCAGCGAGAGTGCCGGAGGCACCATACTAGAAGCGAACTCAACCTGCTAGTCTTAGCTGTTGCAGCGGCATAGAGTACGAGCATGCATCTATGGATGCTGGTATATGAATATTCCTTTTAATTGCGTCAACTGTACGCATTCGATTGTTCCAATCCAGGGGACGAACGCTGTATTACTATTATTACAACTACGCGAAAATTACAAAATAAACGATTTTCGATGTTTACACCTCAGTCAGACCTCCCTAAACCATAATCGTACCTACTACTAGAACTAGAACCACCTCTCACCCATATGTATGTACGGTATGTAATATCGATTACCAACTCTTGTCCATTTTTTCAGGGTATATACGTATGAATTCCACATTCGTAAGGTTTGTATCAATGTCCGTAAGCGCAAGATATCAGTGCCCGTTACTTCTAATGCCTTGTGGCGTAACAATTGAAGTTCTCAAGAAAAAGATATCATCGCGTTGCTGAGAACTACAGCTGCTACAGGTATATTATGGTAGTAAGCCCACCGTACAATTACAAGTGACGAACATGAGAACAACGTACTACAGTACAGTATACCTTAGGACCACGTACCGTACCGCACGTACCGTGCGTACACCTACAACGCACGATTCTTATTTTTTGGTGAAAGAAAATTCTGTACAGGAGTTTGTCAGGACTGAGATGGATTTCCGAAAGTGGAGAAGGGTGGGTGGTATCCCAAGTATCAAAAATCAAAATACAGTATCGTTGGAGGACATCCGTTCTTCCTTCTCCGTTTCGATATTCTTTGCGTACGATAGGCGTACACGTAGAATCCTACGTACTAATTTTTTGGATCCTTTTCCATCGCAGTCGGTTTGGCTTGTGTTGCTTCGTACTAGTGTGTACATAAGAGTACTCTTTACAAACAATTGCCATGCGTATGCAGTACCGTAGATGATACTTCGGGACGAACGTGAGTACGAGCACAAAGCGAAAATCCTACCGCGAGTGCCCGGTCACAACACCGCAATCGTCAGGTCATAATCCCGCAAGTCATTCATTCTCTTTCGTTGCCCAAGGAACAACAACAGAACGAGTGCTATTGAAATCGTCAACCGAAGCGATCACAAGACACGCCTGCCGCATCCCTTTCACAAGAAAAAACCGACGAGCAATCACAATGAGCGACGACGACCAGAAGAAGATCGAATCCACTGAATTTATTTTCTTGGTAGCCAAGTCCGGTACCGGAAAGTCGTTCACTGGAGACTATGTTGACTTGTTTGGAGACTGGAAACACGTAGACGGAGACACTCCACTCAAGAATACGCACGGCAATCCTCATTACAAAGATCTGAACAACCGCGTCTTTCAGCTAGAAGAATACGAGGGCAAGGGTATGGAATGGCTTGTAACGGAGGGACTCGTGCCCTACATGGAAGAATTGGCCAAACTTGGACTCGAGGCTGCCAAGGAGTCGGACAAAGTATGCATCTCTTGGGCCTCCTATTTCAGACCTAATCGTCTCTTGCTTAAAAAGTTACTGCTCGACGCTGGAGCAAAAGATTTTTCTATGGTCTTTCTACACTGCGACTTGGAAGCACACATGGATGCCCTTTGGAATCGCACGTGTCGCCAGGCCGAACAAGCAGGCTTTACCATTACCGAATTCGCGGCTCTTTTTAAGATGCCAGTAGAAGGAGAAGAATATACCAAAGAACAATTTGTGGCTTTCCAAACCTCCCAAGATTGGTACAAAATGTGGCAAGACCCCGACGAATCGGAACAACCCTTCCAAACAGTCAATGTGACGGCAAAGGACGCTACTGTCCTGGACAGCCTCGATGCTGCGTTTGGAATTGAAGACAGCAACCGTGCCCATTTGTCCTATGATGAAATTGTAGCAAAGGTACGTGCGATCGATGAGGAGCGAGACCAGAAGAACTATGATGCTTATGTAGAGTCACTAGAAGGTTCCGAAGAGAGCAAGGAAGAGTTGGAGTTCGCCCAAAAGGAACCCGAACTGTGCAAAGCCCGCCGTTCCAGTCTTTTGCTCGCAGATAAGATGAATTCGATGCGCAGTCTTTCGTCCGTCGAAGGTGAGGGGGAACGACAAAGCCTCGCCATCGAAGCCTTGTCACGTCGCAGTCGCCAAAGCTTCATCACGACCGGCAAACTCTTCACGTCCGAGGAGTTGAAAGAAATCGACGAAGAGTAAACGATCACCGGTTACCTCGAGAGGTGTCGTAGAATCCTCTATCCCAGTCATCGTTTACTGATAATACTTTAATATTTGTAGTGCTGAAATAACATTTAAATTTATTATTATTAATTGTCTCAATAATTATTACACAACTAAGTATACAAAATTTACCGATGCCGTTGGACCTGTTGTATTAGACTTCATGAAACCCATGGTCAAACCAGTGACTTTTTGCTCGAACATATCAAGCAGTGCCGTCGACAGTTCAAACGGGAAGGAAGATGTATCGCCGCATGACATTGATGGCGTTGAATGGTTCGAGCGCCGTCTACCGTCAGGTATCGTGGGGCTCGTTCTGGTGTGCTATCTTAGTGGCACACAACCCAAGGGAGAAGAAAGGCAGGGCACCGCAGGCGCCTAGGATCGCAGCTGCCCAACAATCACTACGTGCCCGGTGATGCCCCCGGATTCAAAGTAGCCGATGCCAACCTCGGTTGGAACAAACGGAGATTCCTGCTTGACAATCGCAGAACAATGCCCGCTAGTGCTGCTCAACCATCCCCCAACGACGGCCTCGGCAGTTCTGTAGTTCACTGCCGTGACCTCGTTGACGGAACCGAATCCCTGGGATTGGTATGGATACCCGGCCCTCATCATCCGGGTCGTAAATCCCTCGCAGATCGGTGCAGAGGACGACAAAAACGTAGATGAGGGGCACGCGTTGTGCAGGTTGGAGGGGAAGCGCCCGGTCTCGAGGGTCTCCATGACAATATTCTGGGCCTGGATCCGGGCAGCGCACGAGAGCTGGGGGTTTACCACCACAGGGCTGGACCTCGGATAGAAGGTCGAGATCATGTCGTTGCCGTTCCTCCGGTTGCAGACGGTTCCTCCCGTTTCGCTGCGCTTGATGTTCATCGCCAAGAGGACCTCGGCCTCGTGGACCTCCATCGCTCTGGTCCAGGCCGGCGAACCTTCGGCGTACGGCGAGCAATAGCTCCTGGACTCCTGCGAGAGAGAAGAAGTGTAGCCCCGCGAGGGTTCGGGCATGGAGCAAAATCTCTGGGGCCCGCCGCTGCGCTCGGAACAGGAGCGAAAGCACCGGTCGTACACCTCTCGCATTGATTCGTAAAAGTCACGCGGGAGCATCCAGCCAGACGAAAAATCCATGCCGGAATACTTTCGGTCGCAATACGAGAGGTACTGGTCGCAGTCACTGGAGTCTCTCGCGTTTTCGTAGGAATTGTAGTAAGATTTTGGGTCGCTCGGGTTGCACTGGGGGACCAGCACGAGATTCGCACCGCTGCCGTTGCTATTCCCCCCACTGTTGTTCGAGGGTGCGAAGGGATCGGATCCGCTTTGGTCCCCTTCCCTATCGGGCCTGCCATGGTTGTATCCTCCAACGCGATTTGATTCTCTCTGCCTTTGTCTCTCGTACGACCCACGAATAGAAGTTCGCTGGGAGTAAACATTCACTGTCAGGAGCTGGAATACGCCAACAATAAGGCAAAAGACCGATAGATTCTTGGTAATATTCATCGTAGAAGGCCGTTCTTTCGTTTGGCAGTTGCTGTTGCCGCTGTGGTGTCTTGATGTGCTTCGGTTCTCAATGTTTGTGGTGCTTACTGGAAACTACAGCACGTACGAAATAGTCGCTTGCAGCCGATCGGATTTGCGAAATCCCAAATGTGTTTTTCGTAAATTGTGAAGTGCGTCCCGCACGATTTTCAACGGCAGGATAAAAGTCCTCTGGTGCGTTGCGTTGTATTTTGAATTGTATTGCAGAGAGAAAATGACGCGGAGTCGCAAGAATCACCGATGATCGGAGCGGAGTCGAAAGGGAACCATTCAAATGAATTGGCAGAATGCGCCTTTTTTGTGATGGAAATAAATGTGAATGACATGCGATACTATCGGAATGGCATGAATCGTCATTCGGAAGCAAGCTAGGAGAGACAATGCATTGTTTCTTCTGAAAAAGACCCACTTCATCGGATGCATTTCAAATTTTGGGGGCAACGGTAGAGGGAAGAGAACTCGTGACGATTATTGCAAGCTTTGTTGGACATTTATGTATGAGCTGTTTCCACACATGGAATACACATACCGGCCGGTACGGTAAAATACGTACAACCCCCCCCGATCCGACTCACCACGCGACAAAGGCTACTCGAGGCGCTTAAGTATTGCAAGTCAATCAATGTCCTCGTTGAGGACTCCCTCGCGCGCGCATGAATGATCCAATCACTTAGAGAAGACCAGAAAACAATCATAGTAGTAAATCATAACGGCGGGGTCGTACGGACTTTGGGGGAGATCGCGAAACGACCAAAACCATTTCGAAGATAGCCTGCTTTTCGGGGCTTACTCCTCATACCTCTAATACGTACGTACGTACGTACTATTACGGTAGAACTCAGCACATACCGTAACGTATGGATCGGTGTACTGTACGTACCGTACAGTACATGCCGTACTGGTAGGCTTCGTTTACTGACTCATTCCAACGCAACGGATGCACAGACAAAATTGGCGCAGGAATTAGCAGGGAAGGACGAGACATTGAACAAAAGAAGACTAACCTTACACTTCATTACAGTACGTACCGTACGGCACGAGGTTTCTGTGAATTGGATCGAGTCAGTCCTATTTCGAGATACACGCAAACTCAAACCGTATTGAACGAAGGTGTGTGAGGTACTCGTACTGGTAGTCCCGAAACATAAATATGGCTTCTGCCCGTTTGGTACACCTTACTAATGCAAACATACCGCGCCGTATCTTCAGAAAACTCGAGCTCGTTGTCAGCAAGGCATACCGGTAGCACCCAAGTTCACTTCCGAATCAAGAGAATCTTCGAAGACATTCTTGCACCTAGCGTTGTGCTCATTCCAGAATTGCATACGACGCTGCCAGAAAGAGGTCTTCTTTCAATATGCCAACGGTCGCGATCAACTCGAAAGGCCTGTCTAAGAGCTACAGCGAAGACGAGAAGAAGAATGCCCTGAAAAAACAGCAGAGGGACAGTGATGTCATCGCCGAGTACAAACTCAAGGACGACGGCTACAAGTCGCGCATCGTCACTCCCCGCCGCTCCGTCTTCGATCTGCGCAGCAAGGAAATGCGTACCGAAGGAGAGAAAAAACAGGGGCGTCTCTACTCTACGAAGAAGTCGAAGGACGTCGGGGGCCTCCGGGTCGACGAAATGATTTACGGTGTTAAAATGGCCCACTTGTCGTGCACCGACGACAGCGAGATGCGCCTCAACAACCCCAAAGCCAGTGCGAATTCCCTCATGGCCTTGGAACACCTGGTCGGGGGAGACGATCCGAAAACTACCATCGGGCTTCCGCTCTCTCAGATTCTAGAGGAGAACTTTGGGCTCAAGCTGGATTGTCACATCGACGAGTCGGGCATTCGAAAGGGCCGGCCTGTCGATACCCAGGGGTTTATTGCTTCCAACGAGGACACGATCGTCCTCTCGTACCGGTTCACCACGACGATCATGGACTGGATGGCCAACCTTACCTTTTTTAGTTCCGAGTGGGAACCCGTTGAGGACGAAGCCCTGGGCCATGCCGGCTGGTGCTCGTCTACCAAAGGATGGTTTACCAAGTTTTGCCGTCCGAACAAGGCAAAGCCGCGGGTCCACACGGCCTATTACAACAATTTTATCTACGTAAGTCGTCAGAGGTCGTTAAAAACCAAATTCCGTAGGAGCAGAATGCGAGCACGAATGCGAATGTGGCACCGAACTTTCGTTCCCGTGTCCGTATGGATCGGGTCCGATTGCATTCGAGTCTACTCAATCCTACCTTGACACGGGGCAGGCCAGCCCAAAGAATTCTGCTCTACTCGACTCTACTCGACTCTCTGGCAGGGTTTGACTCACGTAAATTTCTTCATTCTCCTGCCCGATTCGTTCTTATGTTCTGTACATCGATCAATAATGGCCATCGTGCCCCCATCCAATGCGTACCGATTTGTTCTGCAACAGACGATACCCATGATCAAAAAGTACATCATCGAACCGCTGAAAAAAGAGAACGCGAAGCCCAAAAAGATCTACGTGGTGGGGTGCTCCCTCGGTGCGGCCATCTCGCAGATTGCCTTTTGCTATATACTGGAGCAGCTCTACGAAAACCTCATGGACCCGGAGTTCAAGAACGTGGAACGGCTCGTGTCCGTGACGGCGGGCTGCCCGCGCGTCGGTGACAGAAAATTCCGGAACGTCATGATGAAGAAGATGGAAGCCCTCCGCAAGGCCGGCCTGGACAGGGCCGTGATCAACCGTCTGGTATACAACAAGGACATCGTCCCGCACGCTCCACCCAACGTCATTGCGTTTTGCCATCTCGGAAAGCTCGTCTACATCACCAGAGGAGGGGAGCACGTGATCATCAATCCCGACATATCCAAGCAATTTACAAAGTACAACGAAATCAAGGTCATCTACCGGACCGTCTTTGAGGTCAAAAAGGAAGAAGTGAAGGAAAAAAAAGAAGAAATCAAGCAAAATATTCGCGACCGGCAGACCGTGGTCGCCGGAAAGGCCAAGGACAAGCTCCAGAGTGTCCACACCAAGATGCACATGTCCGTAGAAAGTGGTACCAAGAATGTTGAGGGCGACGACGCCGAGAGCGGCACCGCTACCGCGACCAAACACACCATACCTCTCACCAAAAGCAAGCTCGAGCTGGATGCCGAGGCCGCCACGGAGGCAGCAGCTGCGGAGGGGAAAGAGAAATCGACCAAAGAAGCGTTCGAGGAAGAATGCAAAGGCGCTATGGAAGGGATCCATGACCACATGCCCTATTGGTATTTGACCCACCTCGAAAAGCTCCGAGACGAAGAAAACGCAAAGAACGGAGGCGCGGAAGCGGACGCGGAAAATTTGGATGAAGAACTAAGTTGTTGAACGAAAACTAGCAAAAAGGAAAGGAACACAGGGGGAGAAAGGATGCAAAACAGGCAACATGGAAAATGAATCAATCCATTTGTTTAGAAACGGTGAAGAAGATGTCACTCTCCAATCAATTACGCGTTGGAGGCTCAAAATCTATTTCATGCAGTTCACCATGCCCGTGAAGTACTTTTTGCGTCGTTCGAGGTTCGACTGGGCCAGCATCTACATTACGGTGAAGCACCTTACGGATTGTTCGGCGCGGCAAAGCTGCCAAGACCGTAACTCTACCGGGAGATTATATTAGATATTTAGAAGATTCAAGTACAGACAAAGCATTTTATGTACGTAGTACGATTTACGCTATAATGCACATCCATGCAAATCAATTCATGCCTAGGCATTGGCACCGTCCAATGGCTTTGCTGCCGGCCACGTCGCAGCAGTACCATCTTGGCTCCTTTGAGATCTAGCACGGAGCAATACGTTTGCGCCAGATGACGACTGTGTAAATTGGACGCATTCCACCAAATAATAATATTATGATGGCGAGATTACAAACTAGCACCGTAGTGTGTAAGAGTTTGTAGGCCAACGCCGACGTCAAATTCTATGTTTCAGAGGCAATTAGGCTCGCCATTATCCTTATCGAGACATGAATCGTTTGAAAAACAAACAGTCAAGAAATTATTTGCAGGCGCAACTTTCCGGATAGCGTAGCGCGATTGGATTGTTTGCTTGTTGCTGTTGTTGCGTGCCTTTACAGTAGAGTAGCCTATTCGTTGCCATACCAACGACTCCCAAATCCTCGGGAACAGCTACGAATTGGTGACCCAGTCGGTGCTGTTTTCAAATTCGATGACAACACCTCCTTCATTGGTTTCTCCGTTCGATGCACGGGACAGTTGTCCCTTTGTCCACCTCCATTCCTCTGAAGTTGTTGTCGTCCGGTTTTGTGGTTGGCCCAATGGAGTCAGGGATGGGTCTTTGGACGGACGGTAGATTCTGCTTTCCCGTCGACACCGAGTCCGCATCGCGCAATACTCCTCTGCCGTCCGTGCGTCTGCTCTGCATTGCATTGCATTCCACTGGGCGTGCGTGCGTGCAAACGTTTCCGCATTCGCTACGGAGGCGCAATCGGTGTACGAATCGGTGCAAGCACGTTGTCGGTCGGTCAGCTACCAGTGGCTGGCCCCCGTCCGCATCCGCTGTCTCCTCCGAACCAGATCCAGGAGCTGCCGGTCGTGTTTTTCCTTTCGGTGGAGTTGTTCTCGGAGGGAGGCGGTCGCCGCTCCCCCGCAGAACCAGAGCCCGTCGCCGGTCCGGTCCACCAGCCGCGGGGTGCCATTCTTCCTGCCCCTGGTTTCGCCGCTGCCCTTCTCCTCGAGGTCCGGCTGCAGCCAAAGGCGATGGGATTCCGCCCTTTCTTGGCCTTCTTCGGTGCCACCGGCAGCGCTGGTGGTTCCCCTTATGGTCCAGCTCTTTGTGCGCTCGTTCCAGCGTGCCGCCGACCTCGAAAAGTCGCTGTGGGTGTGGTAGATGCGGTCCGCGACGAGGAGTGTGTACCAGTCCGCCCACAGCTGCAAGGCCTCGCGATCCTTGTTGCGTTGGTGGTGGGCCGGCTTTTCGCTGCTGCTTCCCCACCGGATTGCGTCCATCGCCGAGTGGTGGATCTCGGAGGTCCAGCCCGGATTGGACCAGTTCGGAAACCTCGCGTACCAGTCGATCCGGTTGGTCACGAGGAAGACGGCACCGCCTGCCTTGCCCCGGGCGGCTTCGACAAAGTCCTCTCGCGCCAGCAGCGAGAGCGTTTCTTCGTCGAGGCCCTCCCGCTCGTCGTGAACCCCGTCTCCGTCCCGAAGGTGAACGACGATCGATGGTGGCTTTCCTGTGATGGTTGTGGTGGCCCGCGTTGGTTCGTCGGCAGCTCCGTTCGAATCGCGTGGTGCAACCGACCAGGGAAGAATGGCCCGTAGCTCGGGTGTAGGCTCGAACCTCTCGTGGAAATAGTCCCGTTCTTCCCGGTGTGTATTGTTGTTGTTGTTGTTGATGGTGTTGTTGCTGCTGTTGCTGCTTCTGCTTGGCCACCGTGGATAAGTATTACCCTCGTAGTATACAATGGGATAGTCCTCGTGGTTCGACAGGATGTCTTTCATTCTGCACTCGCTCTGCTCGCTGGTGGCATCGTAATTGTTTTGGACAATGGTAGTATGCGTGTTTGCGTGCGCACCGGTGGAATTTCCGACGGAGCGCGTTGCCCCCCCTCCCAGGGCACGATCGCAGCGTTCCGCGTGGGCCGGGTCCTTCCAGGCGAAGGCCTTGTGAAAGGATGCGTGCGGCCCCCTGCCCGCGGCCGAGGCATCCTTGCCCGTGGCGATGGCCGCTTCGTCCTTTGGGTGTGGCGCGTGGCAGATCGTTCGGTGGAACTCCTCGGCGAGGAGGTGGGCGGCCAGGACTCCCGACACAACGTTGCCGATCCCCTGCCCCGTGTGGTACGGCGGAAAGCGAAAGACCAGAATCGGATCGATTCTTGGGGCGTCCGTTCTGCCGGGCCCGACGGGGCTTCCGTCCTCCTCCCCCGCGTCCAATCGCCCGGGCGAGGGGGACGAGGAGGACAACGCGTGCGCATCCGCGTGCAGTGGTGCCGTACCGTGGACGAACCGCCCGTGCCGTTGCAGCAAGCGGTGCAGCTCCAGGTGCAGCGCCACGATCGGGGCAAGGAACACCAAGGGAATGGCCAGCAACCGCAAGGCCCGCTTCGTTCGTCTCCGATGCAGCACGGATCGTCTCGCAACGGTGGCGCGTTTCGATGCTGCCGCCGTTGCCAGCGAAGTGTTTGCGCTTGTGATTGTGTTTGCGCTTGCGATTGCTTGCTCCCGACGATCTTGGTGTATTCGTGTTCGTGTTCGTGATCGCGCAGGCTTCTGGTTGAAGAGAATACTGCTGCTGCTGCTGATGCTGCTGCAAATGCCGTTGCTCCCATTGCTACTATTGGTAATGCCAGCTCCCCCCTCCACCCCGGTGGCGATTCTTTCGTGGTGGCTGTTGCCCCGGCTGTGGAAGGACGCCGAGCTTCTGTTTTTCATCTGGGAAGGAACGGATGCAATCGAATGGTCCGCTTGTACAAATTCTATCAATGGTATGTGGCTTGCATTGTTGGCAAACAGGTTCCTCGTGCTCTCCGGTCGGAATACCGGTAGTACGTACTAGCAATGGCACTCGCACTGTGCGTACAGTACCGTAGTGTTGAGTTCGAAGTACAATTCTCATACGAGTACCCAAACTTCGGACCATACAAGTTCGCGGTGCTCTATCGAAAATGAATCAACGTTCGAAAACAACATGGCACAATTGGATCTCCATCGACCGGTACCAGTACGTAATTGGGTAGTACGTACGGTACGTACCGTACCACAGCACTTTGACCGGAGAGACAAAAAATAAGGAATCATGAATAATCATGTTGTTCCACCATACACGGTAGGAATCGATAGACGGGCGGGCGGTGATTTAAAAAAAGTAGACCGACCGGCTCGACCCTACCGTACGTACCGTAGCGAAGAATGATACTAATGCAGGTCGAAGAAAGATTGTTTGAGTCTTTTGGTGGCAGATGCAGTAGATAAGTACGAGTACTGGTATGTACAAACGTATTCGTACTCCTCTACCTGTGTGCAAACGAGTTGATCGAACCCCCATGTGAGGTAGAGGGCTGCAACCCAAGTGCATGCCGTATGGTAGGCAAGACGTGACATCAGGAAAGTTCGTTCTTGTTTTTTAGGCTAAGAAGTACGTACCCCACGCTACAGTACGTACTTTACTGTATTAAAATACAGAACCAAACTTTGTACGGCGTTGCTACTTTTCGCCCATGATAAAAGCATTGCTGTAGTTTTTATCGTTACGTGGTACTGGGTACCTTCGTCATTTCTGATAGATTTTACTTCAGGTTAAAGCATGCGCAATTCAAGATGTCTTTCCGTGGTCACCTGTGGGCCATCAATAGAAGGCTCTCTAGTCCAGTTGTTACTAGTACATACGGTCGCGTACGGTGCCGTTGAAGAAGAGAATGCTACTTAGAGCATTTGCCGATGAATTAGTGGTACCGGTAACTTGTACCGTACTGGTAGAACCACTACGTACTCTTACATTGATATTGGGAAGTACGTGTTCGTATCTATCATGCGATGGGATATCGTGCAGATCTTCTTGTGCAAGTTCAAGTAACAAGTAACATTTTTTTCGCTTTTATCGCACGCACGAGTTGAAACCGTGTTCTTGAATCGAGTGGCCGAGCCCTTCGCCGTCGCCGTGCCACAATCCACCACAGAAATCGCATCGCCACTTTCTCATATTTCTCTCGCGATAGCATTGCCGTCAAAAACAATAACAATTTCTACAACATTTCCGCCATCATGAAACTGGGAATTGCTCTATCTACAGTTGTGGCTATTGCCTGGGCCAGCGATGACTGGGATCGCTATGGCAAACCACTAAGCAGCGCTCGTACGCCAGCCCGTCCTGGTTTCAAGTCCAGCAATGACGAGAATCATGGCGACGGTCCACGAAGCAGCTCTATTTCTGTTTCGAAAGGGACTGCCAAAAACGACGACATTCTCAACAAAGAGAGTCGTCCGAAGTCTAAGCCCGAGGCTACTATTGGTGCAAACCACAAACCCTCGTTTCGTGCTCCGAAACGAATCCGATGAGCTTGCTGGTGAACCCAGCGAATCAATTGATGCGGGAAAAGGATCTGGATTCCATGCCAGACCTCAGTGTCATCGACAAAGCTGTTGCTGTAGCCGATGGCATTCCTGCCAACGACAGCAACCACAAACACCGTTTGGAAGATCCTCCTGCACAGGGCAACCATGAACCTCGCGACGAGGAGGCTGGTGCAGGCCGTCCGTCGATAATTCCGGAAGAGCAGCGCATACTAAAACCGTGCACGGACTGCGAAGCCGCTTGTCCCAATGGACGCCCTGTCATCAATGTTTCTTTTGGGGACTTTAGGTCTCTCATTCATAGCTGTGCTTACAGCTCATCGGATTGCCCATACGATCTTCCAATCAACTGCTGGGACACATCGCGTGTCACCAATATGGACAGAGCCTTTGTACCTTATGGGTTAGGATCCTTCAATGAGCCCCTGAGCTGCTGGAATGTATTAAGTGTGATAAGCATGCATGATATGTTTAATTTCCAGCGTTCTTTCAACCAGCCCATTGGTGATTGGGATGTGTCCAGTGTGACAAATATGGGCATCATGTTTAAGAAAGCCTCAAATTTCAATCAGCCCATTGGTGAATGGGATGTGTCCAGTGTGACAAAGATGAGCTACATGTTTTATGATGCTGCAGATTTCAACCAGCCCATTGGTGATTGGGATGTGTCCAAGGTGACATATATATGGAATATGTTTGATGGAGCATCTAGTTTCAACCAGCCCATTGGTG